GTGCCGAATACTGTCATCGCTGTCAGTAGTGCCATTATCATCACTATAATTTAGCCATTATTGTATATCCGAGTCACCCAAATCTACCATTGTGCATAGCTTCGGGGTGGAAACCAAAAACCACATAGTGCTAACCCATCAATGAGCACCAATTAATAATTACCCGACGGATTGCTCCGACAAACGCTGCTCCCTCCATATCAACAAATACGGCGGGGACGTTCCAAGTGATAATTACAATTGGCTAGCTATCAAAAGCCTATCAATGTGTGCTGCACCGATCTGTTCTGCCCGCCGAGTTATTTCATCGGGTTGTGCTCTCACAGATATCCGGTTCTTGGATCCTTCCACACTGAATAAATGACCCTGTTTAAGTCTCGTTATTTTTCTGATTATGCCAAATGGTTTGTTGAAAAACATTGCTTTGGTAACGTCTCGGCAATTCAATATTACTTGGCCGTTTTACATGTCAATTATCGTCGTGCCATGACCATACATTCCAGTCTGTATTCGTCACCAATATCAATCAATGGCCATTCATCATCACTTTATACAATGCTATACGTTATACTGTATCGCATACTGCCGGTTTGATTGCTGTATTACCATCCTGTCATCAAAACTGTATCTAGTGTGTGTTGCTGTAGTGATCATCTTTTTGTACGCATTATAATGTCCATGCTCCATTGTTGTTTGTGCTCCATTCACTGTTGATCTGTACACCATTGTATCCGCAATCATCGTACCTCCATATCCATATACATATACTTACATATCGCTTGCATCGTCATCATGTACTGTGCCATTGAATTGCAGTGTGTTGTCCATGTGTGGGACGTGCGTTTTGTACATGTTCAATTACGCTTGATCATTACAATTTTATTGCAATCATTTGTAGTCCCATCAGTAACACTCGGATTGTATCCATATTTCAACTGGTTGTGTATACAACATGTATGCATGTTACTGTCCAATATCACAGTGATCCGACCACCATCATACAGTGTATCATGAGTGTGTCATGAGTGTATCATTACCCCACAATGCGTTGTTTTTTTGCATGATTTTGTGTCGTATTTCAATACTATTCAACCGTTTATTTTGACCCTATACAACAGCCATTGTAACTCTGTATTGTTACCATATTGTAATGTGTATATACATGTCATCGAGTCAACCAATGCAGTACTGTATAGGCATATGGCTGCATTTGCATCACCACCCAATATTCGTACAAAAAAAACCCATCACCACCCAATATTCGTACAAAAAAAACCCGGCAATTGAGCCGTAATCCAATGCATACGTATGCTGATCATCACCATAATTGACCGCTGCATTAATATATCCGCATTCGGACACTCCAAACGTCATACTAACCACTCGTGTCTGATATTATCCGGACATTCGGACAGGATACCATGTCTGATATTCGGACAATATATCCAACTTTGTCAATATTGATGCTATCGTATTGATATATTGACCATTGTAATATATATACATGATATGTATACAGTCCAAACCACAGCGCAATAAGTCGTGTTTTGAGTGTATACCGACGTGTCCAATTCGGTCGACAGTCGTGACTATAACATGTTGTTAGTTTAGTTGACAACATGCCATGATGCATGTCCAATATATAGTATGTATATACATACATGTCCAGTATCAATCGCATGCATGTAGTGTCATTATTCATCGAGATACACGCATTTCCAGTTTCATGTCAAATATTCGTGCTATGTGCAAGTTGTATTTTTTGCATGTATCGCATGTCAACACATGCATGCATTGTACATACCAATGCCATGTGCATATACTGTAGCAGTTTCATGCAACTAGTGTCACTATTGACGACGATATACGACATCAAACACGCCAAAACGTCATTTTCGGACTTTGGTCGGCCCATTCCATGTCAGATATTGACCATAGTGCGTCAGTGACATCATAATTCGATCCGCAACACATAATTACATATATGTGGTGCATACCAAGTCATTTGGTCGACTTTTGTGGTCATACTCGATATTAAAGTTTTTAGTTTGCAATTGGTTTGAAACGACGAGCTCTACTTGTTATTTTAATCTAGTATCGTGTCTATCAGTCAATCAACAATTTATCTTGTATGCAAATGCGTCAAAAATACATGTAGTATATCGTTCTGATTCGATATCAGTTGGCATTGACACTGTACGACCACTACTGACCAAGTTATTAACATATTATCGACTAGCTCATACTGTCCCAGCATGTCGTCAAGAAAACCATCATATATTACAGTGTTGTGCCAACAAACATGCATGGATTGTATTGAAACTGGACATGATACAATATCAAGTATATACATGTATTGTCATGGCATCAAACTGGCATGATATCATGTATTGGTTGTGTAATAGACCATAATATATGCCAACAAAACGCTCCAAATCAGGCATGATTATAGTCGTAAATATATTATTGTGACTGTGTTGTTGGACAGTGACTATCAATGACTATCAATAACTACTAGTGACTATCAATAACTGTCAATGACCATCAATAACTATCAATAACTGTAAAAACGATCAAGGTTTGTAGCCTGACAGTGTACAATCGAGTTTATTAAATCGTGTAATTCTGGTCGTTATTCGACTTTACCCAACACTTGAACACTCGATTGTTGCATGCAGTTTGACAGTTGTCATACATGGCCATGTGTATGCTGTTGTATAACCAGAGACGCAGTAGTATTGCCATGTGTTGGTTGAATCGACATACTCGACACACACCAGTCAATGCAGTTTTGTCCGAATCCCTATTTTTGTTGGCTGTAGTTTTGCACAAACTTGAAACAGTCGTCGTAACAGTGTTACTGTCATTGTCATCAAGCTGTAGTATGTGTGACTGTAGTATTGGTTGAGCCATTGACCATGTATTCGAGTATGAACGACTGTAGTTTTTTACAAACAATTGGTCAAATGCAGGTCCAACAACAGTCAAACAACTAGTCAAATGCAGGTTTGGACAATCGTCAAACAATCGTCAGAATACTGGTCAGAATGCAGGCTAAACTAATCAAACAACAGGTTGAAATGCAGGTCAAATACTCGTCAAATACACTCGTCAAACACTGGTCAAATACTAGTCAAAATACTCGTCAAATATGATCAAATACAAGTCAGAATAACAGTCAAACAACTGGTCAGAATGCAGGTCTGGACAATCGTCAAACAACTGGTCAGAATGCAGGTTGAAATGCAGGCTAAACTAGTCAAACAACTGGTCAGAATGCAGGTCAAATACTAGTTAAAATACTCGTCAAATACTCGTCAAAATAACAGTCTAAATACTAGTCAGACAACTGGTCAATATGTGGATTAAACAATCGTCAAACAATCGTCAGAATAACAGTCTAAATACTAGTTTAAATACTCGTCAAATACACTCGTCAATTAAACTATACAATGCATTTGATATTCATACATTACACAATCAATCGTTAGTGGATATGCCAGTCATCGATATGTATTGTAATCAAATGAATGTATCGGCCATTGTAACATGAATATATGATGTGTATACAGTCCAAACTACAGTGCAATAATTCGTGTTGAGTGTGTTCCAGTTGCATCCAA